TGGCCAGGGCTGGGTTTGAACCCTCTACCTCCGGCATATGGGGCCAGTGCCCTACTCCTTTGAGCCACAGGCGCCACACTTCCCAGACTTTTTAGAGGTGGTTTCCAGAAAACATATCTTGGACACCCTAAGCAATACCACACAAAAGTTTGGGACCCATTGAGACATATGAATTGCCCTCCTTATGCCACTTTTAGCATCTCATCATGCAATGCTTATCGGTCTAATAATTAAGCAGCTTTTCATGGACAAAGATCACTTCAGGACCTTTTTTCCCACTACCTTATTGGAAGTTTTAGCTTTTAACATAACTCTTAATTCTTTGTTTTGTTCTGAAGTGGAGTCTTGTTCTGTTGCCCAGGGTAGAGTGCAGTGGTGTCATGGTAGCTCACTGCACCCTCCTGGGCTTAAGTGATCCTCCTGCCTCTGCCTCCTAAGTTGCTGGGACTATGGGTACCATGATGACCCTGTAATTTTTCAATTTTTAGAAAGCATGTTATTTCTTTTTTTAGTGGAGATGGGGTCTCGGTCTTGTTCAGGCTGGTCTTAAACTCCTGAGCTGAAGCAGTCCTCCTGCCTCAGCATCCCATTATGCTAGAATTACAGGCGTGAGTCACCTTGCTCAGCTTTGGTTTTTCTGGAGACAGTTTTATTTTTACTCTGTCTCCTGGACTAGAGTGCAGTAGTGTCTTCATAGCTTACTCTAACCTCAGAACTCCTGGCCTCAAGTGATTTTCCTGCCTCAATCTCCCAGGTAGCCAGGACAACAGGTGCATGCCACTGCTTCTGGCTAATTTTTCTTTTTTATGTAAAGACAAAGTATTGCTTTTACTAAGGGTCGTCTTGAACTTTTGGCCTCAAGCCACTTTCAGCTTCTCAAAGTGCTAGGGTTATAGGAGTGAGCCACTGTATTCAGTCTTAACGCTAATTCTTATATTTAATAGAAACTTGGTTTATTAGTTATAACATACAGGAAGCAGGTGTTTATCTACTGATGCACTGGTCAAATAAAAGAGGGCTAAATGAGAAAGACCAACATCCACTGACGTTAAGTTACAGACCAAAGTTTAGATGTACAAAGCAATTACCTTTAGTTCTATCAGTTAGTGATTTGATGATGGAGCCATAATGGAGATAAAAGGGTCATTAAATCAGTGAAGTGTTATTTATTAAAGACTATATATCCAGCACTGTGGTAGGGCTGCATAGGAGACACCAAAGGAAAACTAAAAATATTTTTTTGTCAATATTTTACATTAAATAGAAATTAATTCTTTATTAAAATTATTAATTTATTAAAATTCTTTAATTAATTCTTTAATAAAATTATTAAAAATAGGAACTCTTTATTAAAATATAATATTTGTTACTCCATTATCTATTATTTTATATCAGATATTATGTAAAGAAATCAGAGTAAGGACTGGCATGGTTAAGAAGATGTTATAGAAATTCTTTGTCTTGGCAAAGATTATAAGAAAATAATCAAAAGATGACTTTCTAACCTCAAAAGGAATTGAGATTGGGTACAGTGGCTCAGGCCTATAATCCCAGCATTCTGGGAGGCTGAGATGGAAGGATTGCTTGAAGTCAGGAGGTGGAGACCAGCCTGAGCAGGAGTGAGATCCTGTCTTTACAAAAAATACAAAAATTTTCTGGGCATGATGTCACATGCCTGTGGTCTTAGCTACTCAAGGGGCTGAGGCCAGAGGATCACTTGAACCCAGGTATTTGAGATTGGTGCCATTGTACTCCAGCCTGGGGGACAGAGCAATCTTTTAAAAAAAAAAAAAGGAAACAAAGAAAGGCATTGAGGAAGATGTTGAAAGATACATAGGAATTTGTTATGCAGATAAGAATGGGGTATTTGTGTACATACAAAAATAGGGATATGATATTTGATGGACAGCAAGGAAATCATTTCAACTAGAATATGATGAATTATTTATTGTTGACATACTAGGAAATAAGACTGTGTATTTATCTTCAGGGAGGATTTAAAAGATAACATAATTAACTCTCAGTCCATAGGAAGTTTTAAATTTCGGGGAGAAATGCTAAAGTTGGGGCTGAATGTGGGTGGTTCACACCTGTAATGGTAGCACTTTGAGAAGCCAAGGTGAGAGGATTGCTTTAGGCTAGGACTTTAGATCAGCCTCAGCAACTACAATAAATATAGATTAGCCAAGTGTGGTGGCACTTGGGAGGATCACTTGAGCCCAGGAATTTGAGGCTTCAGTGAGGTTATGATCGTACCATTGCACTCTAGCCTGGCAACAAATTGAGATTCTTTTTTTTTTTTTTTTTT